CCCCAAAATTTAGTCAGATATATTTGGAAAATCTTGTGTTGTGAATGTTTGTGTGGCTGTATGTGTAACAGATGATTAATTCTTATCTTTAATCTGTGTTTGTGAATTGTATTTATTATTAATTATCTCATTGAGTTAGTTGCTAGTAAAATTGTGTTGAAAATGCTGTTGTGATACTTTATTGTTTTCTTTGGAAGTTGAACTGTTGAAGTTATAACCTTTATTATTTATTTTGTTTACTGTTGATATTATTTCGTTATCCAGTCATTTTGTTCCGTTTATGAACGTTAATATTTAAGTTTTGTTGACGTTTCTCTTTGTTTCTGTTTACTCAGCCCACGCACTCCTTTAGTTTGCCCAGCAGGTGTCACTGTTTAACCTATTATATATTGTTTTTCATGGTTTTAACAGCTAACAGTTGTGTGAGTCGTCCTGAGTTCATGCATCAGTGTGTAATGATTCACTGATTCACCCACCGACAGGTCGGCGAGGTTTCAGGCGTTTAACTGGCCTGACCTAGAAACTATGACTGGAGTTTGAGAACAAACATCAGTTTCTGGATTATTCTCTCACAGCTGTTTCTCCACCAGATGTGGCTCCACATTCCTTACTGCTCCGAGTCGCTCTCTGTGACGAGGCTAAAAATACAGGCTGAAAGTGCTGAGTTATGGCTGCTCAGAGAGGAGTGTAACTGCAGCTCAACCTGGACTTTCCCATCGTTGAATCAGCCTCAATATTTAGTCCAAATGACACATTAACTCGTGTTGTGGACACTTTTGTTCCCAGTGTTATTCTCTAGCTAATATTTTCCCTCAACCTGACCAACAGTTTCTCACTTCAGCTCCTTTAAATCGACTGTTATTAAATGTACGTTATAAAAAGCAGCACTGACCACACATGGAAATGAAGCAGTTGAGATAAGAAGCCACATTGAGACACTTCATCCTGTTGATAAAGCCATAAAGGTGATTTGACTAGTTTTACATCAGCTGCTGTAGACGAGCATGAAGCCACTGTTGAGTCCTGACGGCAGATCGTTACAGAGCCAATTACAGGCAACACAATAAAGTAACTCCCTCAGTTTAACTTAAGCTCCAATGATGAGTTGATTCATCGATTGAAAGAACATTACGCTTCCTAAACGTTCAGATTCACAGATTTTCTTTGTCAAATGATGAAATATCTTTTGGTTTTTGACTGTTTGTCAGACAAAAGAAGCAATTTGAAGACGATACTCGTTAAAGAGATTATATATTTATATATAGAGCTACATCAATCAATCTAGTTACATTTAAGCTAAATGTGAGCTAATGAGCCTACTAACTCTGTTTAAGAAATAATTTGAGGACTTTTGCTCACAAATGGTCATATAAATGTACCACTTGTCTATTATTGACACATTTTCCCAGTTTTATTCTTCCTTTCTTGCCTAATTTCCTCCAGTTTTCCTCAAACTGTAACATTACTTTAGCAACAGCCCGTAAATAACAGTAGAATTTATTTAATATTTCATATAATTCCTCTTCTCATCTATTAGTCTAATAAAAGAAGAAGTAGAAAGTGTTTGTTGCGTGTACAATTAAAATGTGGATGTATTTATTAACCACAACAACACATTTTTCTACCGGGCTTTTGTAACAGTTCTGTAAATGGGAACCCTGATCTTAGTTAACATAAAATGTAGCTTACATTTTAAAATGTGGTTCTTTTTAACAGATATTAGTTTAGCATAAAGCATATCCAAGTACAGGAAAGGAGGAAGCTGACCGAGGTTCCTTAAATGGTCACAGGTCAACTGTGAATCCACGATGTGACTAAAACCCCCTCCGCTGTCCCGACCCTGACCTGGACTGAGGCACCGTCTTGTCCACGAACAGGAAGATGGCTTTCTCTGAGGGCAGCTGGATGCGTTTCCTGATGATCCACATGAACTGAGCCACTGTGATGTCGGAGGGGACCAGGTACTTCCTCTTGTCGATGTCCACGATCTGTGATCCAGAGACCTTCTCCACGATCACCTGACGACACACACACACACACACACAGACGTGATTATAGCCAATGTTCAACCTCTAAATCAGCTGTAACATCACAGATCGTCACCCACCGGGACCCTGTCAGGGTACTTGTTGCGGATTTTGGCTGACTCTATGCATCGATGTTCTGGAAGACAAAAAGCAACATTTGTGTTAATTGTGTGGTTTTTGTTTTACCTGACAACAGAAATACACAACAGGGCTCATTGAGAGGGTTGTAGGGCAGCGGTTCCCAACCTGGGGATCAGGACCAGTGTGTTTATGAAGGTAAAATGTAGTAGTGTAGCACTGCAGAGACAACCTGGTTCTGATTCTGTTTGACAAAGACCCCAAAAATGTCACATTTCATGCACGATTTTAATTGATTTTTTAGTGAAAATGTAATTTGTGATGCCAAAAATGATGATTCACATACAAATTGTGAATATCGCGATTAATATCTGTCAAAATAATCGTGATAATGTTTTTACCACAGCGTGCAGTCCTAATTTTAAGATGTGTAAGTAAACAACTCAAAAAGGAACTATGACAAATTATTAAGAAACACGTAATACGGACAGAGAATAGTGTAAAAAAATGAAAAAAATCTGCTCAAAAATCACTCGTTTTACACAAACTTTAGTTTAAAAATAAAATAAAAATGATAGTAAAGGGGTCCCTCGAGGAGAAAGGTGGTCTGTTCTGACTGTAAATGATTGTGTGGATTCTGCAGAGAGGATTTTATCCGTTATAGAGGTCGTTCACATGAACACGCGACGTTTGGGAACTCCTGTCTTAGATGAGTCTTCTACAGACACGAGGGTTCGACCGGTGATGGACAGCGATCGATAGGTTACGTCTGAGGTGAGACATTCACAGGAAGCTGCTGTGGATTAAGACCCTGAACATCAGCAGCCGTCGATCCAAACACTTTAAATGTGATCATTAACAGCACGGCAGCTTCGGCACCGAGTTCCTGACGAGAACATCAGCCGGGAGTTTGAAACCGTAGCTGCACAAGATGATCAGTTAATCTATTAAATGTCAAAAAGTCACGAAAAACAACCTCAGAGAGCCCAAAGTGACAGATTCTAGTTACATAATGTGTCCGACCAGCAGCCCAAAACCCAAATATATTTAATTTATCATCATATACGACAGTGGTTCCCAACCTAGGGGTCGGGAGCCCCATTAAGGTCGCAGTTTTAAGGTTTAAGGCGTACAGTAGAGCTTACATCTCAGCATCTGGTTCACTACAAAGTAAATGTAAACTGTCTAACAGGCGTCAGGGAGAAGAAAACGCTGAATGTATCAGAAAAGAAGCAGATTAAGTCTGTATGATCGTTAAATGTTATAAATAAATACATAATACAGACAGAATTGTAGAAAAAGTTCCACAAACAGGAAATAATCTGCTCGTCTTACACAAACTTCCTGCAGTTATAACATGAAATATAAAGTTTACATTGTTGTGACACAATAAAATAAATCCCTCCCGAGCTGTTCTCACTGTTCTCACACAACCGGGGTCAAAGGTCAGTCTGAACCTCATTAATCAATCAACTCTTCTTATAAAGGCAATAAACACACAGCGTCACTACATCAAGTGCAACCTAAAGTTTTATTCTTTCTTTTGATTTAATATAGTAAATTTAAACCTGCTGAAACAATCTGAGCAGTAATTCATGATCCCAGTTTAATTATTGATCGATTATAAAAGTGAGAATTTGCATTTTATTCGACTGTAAACTGACAATATTTGAGTTTCTGGCTGTTTAAAAGATGTCACCTTGAAGCCGTGCGAACAATTTAAAAAAAAAGTTCATATTTTATTACTAAACGACGAACAAACTGATTTAAAAATAACTAATAAACACACGATCTGACAGTGAAAACACATCCAGTTGCAGTCTTCAAGTAAACATCCTCCTTTTAACAGGAAGCAGAGGGGTTTATGGGTAATGTAGTCTTACCACTAACAACAGAAAGAGGCCGTATGCTCGTTTGTTTTACTCTTTTAATGGTAAAAGGTGCAAAACTTTTCAAAGACAACATTATTCCTCAGCAGCAACGTGTAATCTGAGTTAATTATTATAGAAAATGAGCCTTGAAGTCTGTTTTTAAAGTGTAAAACAAACACTAGTTGATAGCATCAGACAGCTTGTCACTGTCAACAGGAAGCTCATTTAGATTATGGGTTGAGTAATTTGATCCGAGACGGTAAAAATAGCCTCTTTAGTTTTAAATTCATGAATACAAACAGTGTCTCAGATGTTTTATATGTTTTATATGTAATAAACAGACTGATCAGAGAAAGGCAGCTGCTTTAACAGGAGCCACTGTGACTCCTGGTAGCATGTCAGCTCTTTAACTGTGTCATTAAAGTCGATTTATTGACAATAAGTGCTTTAAAAAACCACATAATTAATCCTGTAAACAGACTAAAAGAGGGGATGTGACACCAGCCTGCAGGCCTGAACTACTCCTGGTCCTGGTCCTGGTCCTGGTGAGGCCTCTGAGGCCTGAAGGGACCGGCCACAGGAGAGAACATGTCGAATATAAGCTTCATACAGAGTAAACCCACAGCTTTGTCCTCCAGCTGCACACTGACTGAGAATCAATGCAATAATATAGGTTATATATAATATAGCAGCCTAATGAGCCTCCACCTCGTCGGGCTGTTTCTGCCATAAAGAACAAAGACACGATGCTTTATTGAATCCACACAAACACAAACAGGCTGGATTTAAAGTGCAGATTCGTGTTTTTACTTCACATTAACTGACATTAACTGCTTTACATTTAATCCTCTGTAGAAAACAAAAGCCTCGGAAATAAAAACAGGCCGCGCTTTAACGTGAACACAGGAGCTTTATTTTAACACGTTAACGTTAAAACACACACACACACATTATACATAACGTACATAACGTATATAACGGCCAACTGAACGGTAACTGGTCCGTTAGTACCGAGGCAGGAGGATAAACCAGTGTCCGCCCGGTTGCCGTGCCGTTCCGGGCCGGGTTTACACACACAGTCTCCCCCCATGTGCTTAATGTAACTCCCTAGCTGAAGCTAACGTCAACGAGCATCAGTTGAGACAGTTAGCGTCAGTTGGAGCGAGTCGAGGCAGCAACCAGCTCCCTCCTCCATTAAACTGAGGTCAACAACAGGTTTTAATTACAGGAGCTTTAAAGCGAAACTTAATCACCACTAACTTCTGGAAATATGGCCTAACGTTAGCCACCGGGAGCCGACACTTTCCCGGTGGCTAACGTGGAGCTACTCCTCCGCTTTAAGGCGAGCACAGTGAAAAGTTAGCGCCGGTTCAGAGACGCAGACAGCGGGAGACCTCCGCCGCCCGCACCGAGCCCCTCTCCCCGGAGAGGCCGTAAATGAGTGAGGACACCCGGGGTAACTCAGACCCCGTGCTACCACTCACCCTCTGTCACTTCCAGCACTTTGATCTGCTCCTCCGCGGCGGCGCGCACTTCTTGAACCGGGGACAGGATGGCCGTCAGGGTCTCGATCAGAGCCTCTTTCAGTCCCTGCTGGACGGGGCCGGCGGCCGGACCGGACCGAGCACTACCCGCCGCACTCATGCCTGCTTGTGTTTTCACCCGCAGCCCGCTACAGTCAGTCCACCACCACCACCACCACCACCCGGGGAGGAGCAGAGAGCCACAGAGGCGAAGCGCGCCAATGCATGGAAACGTGGAGGCGGGGTTTCGCGGGAGGAAGTGTCGTCCGGTTCGGCCCACGTGTTTTTTTTTTTTTGGGTCTGTTTTTGTTTTTACAACTCTGGCTCCCTCTTGTGGAGCGGGGGAAAATAATACATTCAACACTGCTGCTGTCTGGAAGTATTCATCTGATCAACTACAGAAGCAAATAATTGAGTTTAATTAAGTTTTTGAAATTCAAATTGAGATCACATGAATCCATTTAGATGGTTTTCAAAATAAAATGTCATGAATGTGGTGGTGTTTGAATCTCAACAGGTATTCAGCAGCGACTACATTTTAAAATGACTTATTCACTTGCCTATAAAATTCAAATATTTGTGGCCATTATTTGCTTACACGCCTGTTTGTTATATGCCATTATATTTCACCTGCAGTAACTGTAAGAGACACAGTCTGTAAGTGTGTAAGTAAACATTAATGTGCTGTCTTAAGGCTTTGAATATATATATATATAGTATATAAATTCAGTTGCAGGGTAAAATCTGCTGCTGCACTCCTCTATGGATCAGAATTTACAGTCATGGTGCAGCGATTACTAAGTAGCCATAAGTGCAATGTACACTACACAGCCAAAAGTACTTTAACACCCCTATTCACAAACTTTTGGGATGTTTTTCATAGTTTGGACGAAGCCCCTTTAGTTCCCATTAAGGTAAATCTCAACGCTACCACACATAATGGTATTTTAGACAAAGGTGGTCTTCCAACTTTGTGGCACCGGTTTGCAGAATACTCTTTCTCATATAGAAATGCTCATCCCACTTTTGGCCCACACAACCAAATTCCTACAGCCAGGCTCCACAATGTTGTGGAAAGCCGTCCCTGAAGAGTGGAGGCTGTTATAAAATCATATCACATATAGAGGAAATGTTCAGGTGTCCACATACCTTTGTCCACGTGACGCACAGAGGCAGTTTTCTAACCCGTGTGATTTGAGTTCTGATTTACCCTTTGACAGCAGTTGCGTCACTTTGGTTGAAATGTCTACCCAGTTACACCTAGACACAGTGGGCGGTGCAGATTAACTACCTGCAACCTTGTTTTAGCTGCAGCAGACTGTGACACCTCCCTACATCGTCTGTTGACAGACTCCTCACTTCGAGAGTAACGTTAAACCAACGTGAGGTGAAACAATGGTGGAAATTCTCTCTGAGGTGTGACTGTAACTCTGGAAGTGGCTGTGGGTCTCCTGTTACTGAAACCGAGGAGTTACCAGCTTCACCTCATAATCCTGTTGCTCCAACAAGCAAACAGGTTGGGTATTAGCAAGGTTTCCACCAACGTGAGACAAACATGTGACCAACTGTTTGTGTCCTCCACGATTTAAGGTTTCTCTGGATGGACGATCTTCTCTTCTCTGCTGCAAATTCTTGTTTCTTACATTTTAATCTTCCCTTGGACG